TCTGTTGTTGTTCTCAAACCGTTCTCTTCGTCTCTCTTTGTTCTCTCTGTTCTCTCTCTGTTCTCCGTGTTCTTCTCGTGTTCTCCATGCCCTTAAGCTGGGAGAACAGGGTATTTAAAAGGCGTTGGAGATATTATTGATGGTAAGGATGACTTTGAGTGTTAATTAAGAGTTGTAAAGAGAATGCGGTTCATTTTATTATCATTGTTTTTTTTGTTTTTTATCTTCCTCGTTTTTTTTTTGTTGTTGTTTTTGTTATTCCTTTTTTGGTTTTAGTTATCTATTTTTCTTCTGTTGTTTTTAGTGTGTATGTTTTTTTTCTCATTGTCAATTTAATTATCTCTTTGGTAATGAGGAAATTAAAAAGCAATTTTTATCATGTTCGTATTTGTGTTTAAAATTATATTATATCCTCTTTATATTCTATGTAAATAAGAAATTTTAAAAGCGAGTTGAGGTCATTTTAATTTTCTTTTTCTTTTTTTTTTCAAACAAGGAGTATGGTTGGGAGTTATTAACTATTATTAATAAAGAAACAAACATAATTAAGAAAACAAAGAAAAGAATTATTAAGAAACAAACGTAATTCTGGTTTTGATTTAGGAGAGTTTTAGTGCATGATAATTAGGTTTTTGCGATTGACAGCTTGTGGAATTTTTAAAATGACAAGATCTAAGTCATCTTTCATCTACGACATTTCCAGTTATTTATTTTTAAAATCTAATTCTCGTGTCCATTTTTTCGGCCTTCACCCTTTAGTGGGAAATGGTTGGTTGATGTGTCTTTTTTGTTTAGGTTTATGTGCGTTTGTCTAGAAAAAAAGCCTCGTATCGATAAAAAATACAATTCCCAACGTTTGAAGATAGTAAGGGAGAGCTCTTAGCACGGTGACGCCTGGGATGGGATTTACGTAATTGCCATGCCCGCTGCAAGTTTTGTTTATCAGTCATCTTAATAAACAAATGGCTCCACAAGTACAAAGTCACAAATGAGCCAGTTACTAATACTGGGTGATTTTTCAGAATACCCTCACGTAACCGATCATGGTGATTTTAGTATTGACAGATTCCTCTCACTCTCTGCAATCCAAATATATTTAAATTATGCTGCTGAAACACTCTCGGTAGCAATGATTTTGTCCCCAATACTCTTATCCTGCCACACGTACTTGGAGGATTTTTTGTTTTCCTGGTTGGGGGTTAGGGGGTGGTAGTACTCCACAGGGAGGGTTGAAGGGGGTGCAGCTTCCTGTATTCAGCGGTATAGTGTGGTATTATCTTCATTATGTTATTATATTATTAGTTTACCTCACAATTTCCCTGGTACTTTTCATGCCCCTCCCTGCTTTTGTGGACAAGAATATGGTGGGGTTGGGGAGGTTCTGTGATGTAATTCCTACATATGTGTGCACTAGAGGGTGAAAGGAATTAAAAATCTAAAATCAAAATTTCACGATCAGTTATGTGGAGGTATTGTGAAAAATTACCCTCACTTGTTTACCCTTTCCCATGGTATTCAGAAATATTTTCTTTTATCTCATATTTCTATGATTAATATCATTACCATTATAGTAATCATAATAATAATATAGCATGAATACTGATAGCATTTGTTAAAAAAAAAAAAAAAAAAATACAGAAAATCCAAGGAAGAGTGAATTTAGGGGATAATATGAGTGGTCCAGCACTTATGGAACCACCCATGTGTAAAGATGTTCCACAAAACAACACTACATTTCCCCAGTAACACAGTTAAACCAATGGGCCAAACAAAATACAGACATGTTGTTTATTGTTCTGGGCATCTCATGCTGCTTGATCATTTGAGGCAGCTTTGAGCCGGTTCTCGTATCCTTAAGATGCATGATTACTGTATTTTATAGGATACAATATTGTATTCTGATTGGTGGAGATTAACAATACACCCAGGAAGATATATCTTCAAATCAGAAATTATTTCAAGCTCTGTCTTTTTGGAATGTTTGTCGAGAACTTTTTCCAATCTTCACACTGGTGCTACATCATGTGGAGACAATTGCAATGCCAGTGCAAATGGTATGGCACATGGGTGAGAAAATCATAACAAAATCACAATTTATATTTTTATTTTACAATTGATGGAAATTAAAATATTTTTTATATACATTTTGACTTCTGTCCCCCTCCCAAAACCTCAATTTTTCATGAGTCCCTCAAGCCTGTGGTAATGGGAGTAGGGTTGTTAATGCTAATTATGTAGGTCTGCGCAGAAAATGAACACCAGATATGTTTTGATCACACCTGCCTATATTAGGAATTCTATTTCCATCTCAAAATTTACCTATGGGATCTGGTTCATCATTCTTACTGGAATATACATAGATGGGGTATTTTGGCCTTTGTCAGAGTGCCAAAAACAAGTAGGTTAGTGCATAACAACTGGTAGACACATGGGTCTATTCTTTACATTTATTCAACTGTGTATTATTTCCCCATGTCTGTTATCTGATCTTGCTGTCGCT